TTCAGTTTGATCAGGCATCAGCACTACCGTTCAGTTTCAGCAGTTCAGGTGGGGACTCAGACTAAGTACTACATTGTTTATAATTACGCTACCATGTTCGAGGTATGTATGTTCAGTATCCGCTCGGAATGGTTGCCGGTCCATTCTGAGTTCTAGTGGCATAATCTAACCACTAGAGTGTGCACATAGTCCGGTATTAGTTTGTGCCGGGAGATTGTGGTATTAGTTTGTGCCGACAGATTACAGTTATCAATCACGTAACTTATGTCGCGAGATCAGACCGGTATCAGATATCAGATATCAGTTTCAGTTTCAGTTCAGTTATATATGCTTAGATCAAGATATTGTTATTATTTTCGATGTTTACATTAGTACGAGTTTCTGCGGAGCACAAGTATTTTAGTGCTCACGCCCCCACGCATTTCATGTTTTTCAGGTCGCAGGGTCGGAGACGAGGAGTGAGCGGGCGGGCTGTTCAAGACATTTGTGATTATATGTATATATGTTTTTGTCACGCTTGGTTTCCGCTAAAACTTTCAGTACTTATATTCAGCTTTTGTTCCGACATTAGTCGGATGAGACAGTATAATCGTTTTTATTTATCAGTTTAAAATTTTAACGGTTTACAGAAAAATCAAGTTTTTCACGGTAGCATCCCGAATCAGTTTTCGCAAAATAAGTATTTTATTTATTTATTCAGAAAATTGCGAAAAATCGCGTACTCTGATAGTATAAAAAGTCGGGATGTTACAAAATTCATATATATGATCACGTCAGATGCATTGGATCCGTAGCAAATAATTCAAGTACAAGCTCCAAGCTAGCCAATGAAAAACATGACTCATATAATGGAACCGAGCAGCATGATCTATAATTAAATAAATAATGTCCAAAAGCTTATGATTCAAAAAATTGATATTTGAATCCATTCAAAATTAGCCAATGAAAATCAATTTGCCAATTAAATTTGCACCAAATTGAAACTTAAAGGATTCATCCAATATTATCTCAAATTATACTATTTAATAACAATTTATGAATTCGAACCGTGGTTGCAACAATATTCGATATGAATCAATATAACTGCGCATAGATCCGAAAGCAGTTCAGAAATTATAAATTAACAGTATAGCACCCAAATTCCTAGCGATCCCCCTAATAAAATTGGGTCTGTAAAAGATCAAGGAATCGACTCACAAAAATTCGATATGAAGATGCTCTGATACCACTTGTTGGAATTAGCCTTATGCGAAAATCATCGCTTTATAGGAGCATTCATATTAAATAATCGAGAATCAAACAGATAGCTGAAGCGTACCTTAGGTGGATTTATAGATCTGATTACCATGGAACATGTTGGTGTTGGGACATAT